GACAGCGCGGAGAGAGAGTTAAGTAATAAAATGTAGTATTGTACTGTTCAGTATTTACTTATCAATAATCGTCACTTTTTGTTATTTATATTGTAAAAAAGTAATTCTATTTTGATTCAAAAATCATCTAACCAAAATTAAGTTTTTCGGTTGTTTTTTTTTCGAAAATTTGTCTTTTTTGAGGCAATATTAAAAACTTCGCAATTATTTTCTTACATTTTTTTTCTCTCCTAATCTCTATACCATAGAACACCTTTTCAGCATAGTTAAGGGAACGGTGGATCATTAAAACTAATTTCCTGAATTGTTAGCTTAATTAGCTGTAAATGGAATCATATAGTAAATGATTATTATATTTCATAATTTAAATGTATTTTTTTAAAAAAAACCCCTATTATAAACTGATTTTTTTAAAATTAAATATTTAAATTACTTTTAAAAATGCTCCTTGCGCATTAGTTTTTAAGATATGTACATAATTTTTGTTTTATACATAGATGAACTACTGCAAAATATATCTGCGCATGGGTTTTAAATTTAGAATTAAATTTGATGACAAATAGATAAATTTTCGATACAATATGAAATATTTTACCAATTATCACACATTCAAGGTATTTAAAACAACACAAAATATTATCCGTTAAATTTTTTAGAAAACTAATGCACAAATTTATGAATTATATCATCTTTCATAAGTTGTAAAAATTTCAAATAGATATGACGTTATTTAAAACGCAAGGAGCATTTTACGTAACAATGAAAAGGGAATTTTACGAACTAGGAAAAAAAGTACATATTAAACATTTATTTGTGTAAAATTAAAAAAATAATTCAGCAATTATATTAACTGAAATGACAAAATTCTTTAAAAGAGTTATTCTATGAAATATAAGGAATATTTTAAGTATAAAAAGTCAAAATCGTAATTTTGACCAAAATTTGATATTGTGAAGGTCCACCATCCCCTTAAGTTCTGATTGATAATACTTTTTTTCGTTTAAGTATTGAGAAGCACATTATTTAACATTATCTATGAGTATTACTCTGTATCAGAATGTCAAATTAATACATAATTATTAAATCTCAGCAATAATCTCTTCTAAAAAATTGGCATGCAATCACATATGAATATAATACAAATCTTTTGTATTAGTTAATTTTTGTTCAAAACATTTCCTTAATTGTCAGCCAACATTAATGTAAAAATTTAGAAAACTGAAATTGCTGAGCAAACCAAAGCTTTTTATATAAATTTAATAATTAATGAATTAGTTATACATATTAAATAATTCTATTCGAAAAAAAAAAACATAAAATATTTCATTTTTCATATCACAGAAATTCTTCCACGTAAAAAAATTTGTCAGAAGAGGATTTTTTTTTACTAATAAAAAAGTGAGATTTGTACTTACCATCATTCGAGCTGAAATATAAGATTCACATATGACACGTTAAAATAATTTCATCACTAGACATTCGGTAAGAAAAATTTTAAATCCACAGAAATATGCAACAGATTTTTCAACATTTGTATTTATTAAGAATTTTCCAGAATAACAGCATGTATATATATATTATTTCTGAAGATAAACATATTTTCACTAAAAGCAGAAATAATTTGGAAAAATTATTTTGTTTACTCGTAAATCATAATTCCTTCAATCCAAATTGGTTTAGCTAATTAATGTCTTCTTACATAATATTAAAAATAATTTTACTGGTAAAAAAGCAGAATTTACAACACTCGAAGGAAGAATTGAATGAAACAGATTTTTTTAAAAAAGTCCACCATCTCTTGTCGATGTATAAGAAAGTCAGCGATTGCAGATCAAAGATGCTTTGGGGGGTCTCCAGAACCTCCAAAATGGGATTTAGGACCATAAATGGGCCATAACTTGCATTGAGGAGAATTGAAATAACCCTGTAACTCAGGCAAGTTCCTCATTCTCTTTTGGTAGGCTTGTAGATTGGGGAAACCATCCAAAGCATTCTTATGAAACAGCCTGTACATGTCAAAGCAATCGTACGCCATGAAATCCACATAGGTGATATTATCTCCTGCCAAATACTTTCGGTCTCCTAGGAATTTTTCCCACTGCTTCAACATGTCAGGAATCTTCTTGATAAAGTCCCCTTTCAAAGATTCATAATGATCATTGTAAATAACATCAACTAATGCCAATCTCAAGTCAATTAATTGCAGATCAGCCATCGATACTCGGACCTTTTGCCTTTCGTCTTTTCCATCCATGCCATATTTTCGAGCCAAGTACTGGATAATAGTCGTGCTCTGCGTTATTCTCAGGTCACCTTCTATGTAATAGGGCAGATTTGGAAAATCGAGTTCTAAATTGAACTTATTCTTAATCCATTCATCCGTAAGGACGTTATAACGCTTATCTTCGAATTCAACTTTATTGTAATGAAGGAGAAATCGAATAGGCTCTGCAAATCCTCGTATGTCCCAATACCCCAATAAAGGTTTGACCATGTTGAAGCGAAAATTAAGAGCACGCCAATGCAGGAAACAACCAGACCGAAGAAAGGCTCAGTGTAATGTGTGTCCGATCTCTCAATATGGCTGACTTTGTACTTTATCTCAAGGTTATTTTTATCACAGAAACTTAAGAGCAGATAAGACTTTTTTTTAAAGAAAGCGAGCGCTTCCTCTTCGGAGATTAGATGTGTTTAAATGTTTCTTCGCTTCCCATCTTCAATTCAAATTTTCTTATCAGTCTCGTAAAGGAAATATTTGATTTAATTTTTCTCAATGTCTACTATTAGTTCACACTCTCTCCCTATATATATCAATTTTAATTTAATACAGACAAATAGTAACAACAATGAAGCAAATTTTCTTGATATACATTTCAAATTAAAAGATAATGTAATAGTTACTAATATTTATGATAAAAGTGAAGAATTTTTATTTCAATGTTATAAAAGTTCCTCATTGGGAGAGTAATGTACATGTTTCTATATTCAGAAATATTGTTATTAACTATATATACAACGCAATAAATTTCTAGTGTCAAAAAAATTAGAAATAATAAATAACTATAAACATTTTACTAAATATTGCTTAAATCAGAAATACCCAACTAATTTTATTAATAGTTATATGAATAAAGCTATTCGAAATAGTAAGGATTAAAAATTCTTAGATTAATAATAGTTTATAACTAAAAATTTACATATTTCCTAGTTATAATTACCTCCATATTTTAACATTAGATAAAATTACATATTATTATTTAATTCATATATACTCTAGTGTCACTTAAGTTATGATATTTTGTAACTCTCTTTTTATAATTTTTATTTCTATTCTTTTTTATACTTTTGTTAAGTGCTACATTTCCCCCATTCACATGCTTTGAATCTGCATTAAGGCCCAGAATCTGGCAATAACTTATTTATTGTACTCAGATTTAGCCCGGGCTTTACATTTTTAAGAGCAATTTTTAGGTAAGTTACCTCTATCTTCTTGTAATGGATTTAGATATTCCTATCCATTACTTTCAAAAGGTTTTTGCTCAGTATTATTTACATAAAGGGGGAAGGTTGGCTGGCCAAAAAACATGTTCAACCCCACTTTTATATAAATTATTTTATATATTAGCTGTGTGTGTCCTAAGTCAGCAATGTTTATAATACTGCCGCATCCATTTTATAAATTTTAATCTCGGTTGCTCATGTGTCCCGCATTGTGTGATTTTCCTACTGTCTACGTGTTTTTCGAATGTGATTGATGGATGTTTATCTCTTGTTAGTAGAGAATTAGACTATATGTATTTCAGTATTATTAGAGGAGTTGGCTAGCCACAAAACAAGTTCACCCCCACTTTTTTATATAAAATATTTTATATATAAGCTGTCCTAAGTCAGCAATGTTTATAATACTGAAACATCCATTTTTTTAAATTTCGATTCCTCATGTGTCTTTCATTGTGTGGTTTGCTTATTGTCTACGTGTTTTTCTATTTTGATTGCTGGATGTTCATCTTTCGTTTGTAGAGAATTAGACTATATATATATATATCTTGTTCAAGTTTTCACTCGTTAATATAATGCTTTCTTTCATCCATACAAGTTCAAATACATTTTTTTTAAACTTGTAGTGGATGACACTGCGACATAGCCATCTGTCGATAGCTATGTCTTGGGGTTTCCGCGTAAGTTAGAGGTGTGGGATTATCGGAAGGATGAGACATTCTATAATTCTTAATATGACTTTTATTAAGAATTTAACATAAATTACTTAGATATCGAACAAACTTATATTAAGTGAGAATAAACCAAAGTACGCCGTTTTAACTAACTCAGATCGCGCAATTAGATCCCTTATCAATATAACTAATTAGATCCGCCTAATCTCGTTTCAATAATATACTAGCGTTCAGAATATATTCTCCCTACCTTGGTTGAATACTCAACGATTCAATTACTTTCAGGTAGACTGATGGGCTCGTGTGCAATAGTATGCACCTTGTATAGATTAGCGAGGTGGGCGTCTTGATTCTAAACCGTCGATCCACACTTTTTCATTTCCGAACTGAGCTTTCTCTAAATTGCCCTTCTTGCTCACTAAACTTTCTATCCTTTTAAAGGTTATCTTATTTGCATCTATGCTTCATTTTACTTCTTGGATTTGGGTTGGAAAAGTTTTGCCATTAATCGTGGCCGTCAAAGAACGTAGGGGTTATGTTAGAAGAAGAACGCGAGAGATGTCACAACACTTGATATTAATACAGATTTTTCAAATATTAATTTATTAATTAAATTAAAAAATGTATAAATAGTAACAAACAAATATAATAGTGCAAAAGGATAAATTGAAAGGAAAATCATTAATTGTATTCCTGTAACGCAATGGATAGCGCGTTGGACTTCTAATCCAAAGATCGAGGGCTCGAATCCCACCTGGGATGCCTAATTTCTGAGAATATAATTCCTTTTCCACTATTATATTTTATTAGAATAATTAAATTTAATGAATGGATAAATAGTAACAAAAAAACAAACAAAAAAATAGTCCAACACCGTGTATAGAAAGGAAAATGGAAAATTGCAAGGAAAATCGCTTTTTATTTTGTAACTTAATAGTGTGATTCTGTCATATGTATATGCATATTTATATTAATTGCATCTATTTAATGAAAAGTAACTAAAATAAAATTTTTCTTTGTTGGCCTATGTAGGAATTGACGAATTGACTAAAAACTTTTTTATATGACTTTTTTTAATTTGACACTGAATTACCAATTTGTCCTGTACATCTATTACAATTGTTTTTAATTTACGTATATCAAAGATCACCAAACATGTTTAATCCCGTTTTGATTTTTACTCATATAATTGCATTGTATTTTGTAACACCAAACACACACATGTATATATATATATATATATGTGTGTGTGTGTGTTGTTGATAATTTCTGGTTTATAAAACACTTATAAATGAATCATTTACTGTATGAATCACAGAATAGTGGACATGGACAACCGAATGACAAGACATTGCTTTTGCAGATAACTCATGTTTCTGCCAGTAGCCCCATGTAGGTTTGATTTTGTTTTGGAGACAACATAAAGAGGTGCTGCTTAGCTATTATCTTATGCATCGCAATTCTAGTTCTGGATCCAGTGTTATGGTTTCGGGAGGTGTTAGATTCCATTCCAGTGCCTAACACACACTATCGATACAATGTGAAGCCAGAGATATATTGCATAATATCTTATTTTGTACCTCTGCCATTGACCACATTATGGGACAAAGCGCGAAAACACACATAGTACGTTATGTTCAAGACTTTTTCGTCCAGCAGATTGCATTGCCATCTTGGCTTGTCAACTCTCTCGATGAATGTCTATCGAAAGCGTCCGATCAGTAGTTGGAGAATGACTGGCCCGGCATTTACCACCCATTGTCACGTCACAACAACTTTGTCAAGGTTTACTCATTCATATCTTCCATCATTCAATGCTGAGGCATGAAGCAGAAGTTATTTTTAGGCTGGGAACGCAGTTTACTGATATCCTCGTTTCACCTTTGTACAATGTGTGTTGTTTCTAATACATTTGGCTTTGAAATCCCTCGTCCTTCTTGGTGTTGCAATTTGGATGGCCAGCAGTATGTGTGTGTGTAACAACCTCCCTGTTGCTGTTCACTTCACTAGAGCTTTGAAATGTGCTCGAACTGTTCTTCTGAGCCGGCCTCGCCTTCTCACATCCTCGATTGCCTAGGGTTCACCAAGAAGGATTTAGAAGACGATCCCTTGCTTGAAACCCCTTTCAACCGGAACATGCGACAACAGTCATGGTACATAATTTTTAAGACTTCTGCGTTCCCCAGAATGCAATGCAGCCTTGACCTGGCTGCTCTACATAAGCCTTTTAAACTTCTGGAAGGTGATTGGGAAAAATTGATCCAGTATATACCCCCAACTGGTAGATGAGATCAACTGTGGTAGTTTAAGGTATCCGACTACGTTCGGAACCGTGATTTTAAAAAAGCGTATAAATGGATAATTTTCATGATATTTAGTGTCATTTAGATTAGAATACATGTATAAAATTGTTTTAAGGACATTAGGATGAAAAAAAAGTATTTAATTACAATATTTTGGCAAAAAATTAACTTAGAATAACCTTTTTTCCAAATATTCTCCTTTTGTAAAAAATGCTTCTATTGTATCAATATGTTGCCTGTATTCAGCTCAAACCTCTGTACAGAGGCTCCACTAGAATTTTTGAAATGCATAATTCGGAAGTCGGTTTATCCATGTCTTACGAAAACAGAAGGGAGAAATTTTAAGGAAATACGCCGGTAATTATTTCAAATGGTTGTAACTCTGAAAATAATTTGAATTTTTCAAAAATCATAGTTGAGCCTCTGTACAGAGGTCTGAGCTATAGACAGGCAAAATATTAATACAATAGAAGCATTTTTTACAAAAGGAGAACATTTGGAAAAAAGGTTATTCTAAGTTAATTTTTTGCCAAAATAGTGTATTTAAATATTTTTTGTCATAATGTCCTTAAAACAATTTTATACATGTATTCTAATCTAAATGACACTAAATATCATAAATATTATCCATTTACACGCTTTTGCAAAATCACGGTTCCGAACGTAGTCGGATACCTTAATATTAATTTAAATTTTATCCTGTGTATTTTTTAGTGAATTTTTCTTTTGAATATCATTTTTCAAAAGGACAGTTCATTCTACTTTCCACGTTGAAAGGAATTTTGATTTATTTTCTATTCCTTGAAAAATAATACCGAAAAAGCTTACGTATTTCTCAGAGATTACTTGGGGATAAGTTTTGAACCGAGACCACCTACTCAATTTATTAAAATAACTCCTATATCCTTTCACTTAACAAAGTATAACTAGAATATTCCTATTATTTTTCCGCGAATTTTTCCCTACCTGAGAGAATGTGGGGATTCTTTCTTGATTCTCGACTTGTCGCGAAAGGACTCATAATGACCATGATTTACTGCATTTATGTTAATAATTTTGATATTTATCTTGTCATATTTATTCACAAAAAGCATTCATTACACACGCACACGATCTATTTAAGTAATGGATAACCATATTGTTCACACTAAGTACCGTTACTGTTAGCCCTTCGAACGTTCACCATATAGATTTAGTGTAGCCTACACATAACTGTAACGCATTTTAAATACTCCATCACATATGAAGATTGCCTTGTTAGACGAACACATACTGGAAATTGCGGTTTCGCTATTTCCTGCCGCAGATACCATCATTCTGCTTTGCTGAGCTTTCATTTGTTGACGGGTTTCTGTTCATTTGGAAGGGACTCACATGTGAGGATGGGCTTCGTTTCGATTAGAGTTGTGTGTATTGTGACGGGCTCACGCGTCTTTTCTGTAACATAATCTCTGGGTTTTTTGACGGCCAAGATTAATGGCAAATCTTTTCCAACCCAAATCCAAGAAGTGAAATACGATTATGAAGTGCAAATAAGAACAGAAGTTTCAGTAAGCAGTATGACAATTTAGGGGAAAGTTATGTTTGGAAGAGATACGAGTGTGAATTGACAGCCTATCATAAAGTTACCGAGATATTGAGCCATTACTACAAGGTGCATACCATTGCACGCGCGCCCAGGTGTTTCGTATCGTGATAGAATCTTATTTTTGGATTAAGGTAGGACTGATTATTTGATATTAGGACTTATAATATTATCAGAATTGAAAGTAGGCGGATAATATAATTATTTAGATAAGTGGTCTAAGTTACGCGATCCAGTTTAACTATTGCTGTGTGTTTGGTTTATTAGATTCTCACTTATTAAAATTTATCTAAATTATTAGAGATTTAAGTTATATTCTTAATAAAGTCATACTAAGAATTTTAAAATGTCTGATCTTTTTGAGAATCCCACACCTTTAATTCACGCTGACAATCAAAGATATGGTCACCATAGAGCAACCATATCACAGTATGTGTGCGTGAAATTGTTTCCTCGTAGATAACACTTGACTTTTTAGCATTAAATTGTCAATAAATTGCTCGATGTCGTCCATTCTTTTATTTATTTCACCATTGGAAAGTGCGTTTAAATAACTGCGCATACTTTTCATGATGTTCCTCATTTCGGATGAAGTGGGAATAAGAGCTCCATTATTCATTTCCTTTTTCGTCACCGGAATCTGCCTCAATGATGTTTTTTGAGTTATGAACAAACTCACAAAATATCTTTGTCTGCCACAATTGAGGCAGTACACACAATATCATCATCTACTGCAACTAATTCTTCTGGTGATACAGTAGAACAGTCCAATAATGTAGGAACTTCCTCAAATATTTCATTAAGTGACTGGTGTTTTCCGTATTTTGTTCAGTTCCAGAAGGGTAATGTTTTCGTGTTGAGCCGATTTCGTTTCGTGTTAAGAGAAAACAAGTAATAAAAAAAATATTTTAAGTCAATGCCTACTTTGAATGGATGAATAAAAAGTATTTTATTAACGATTGAAAATTTGAACGATATATATATACAGGCAAATACACTCACTTCCAAAAGTTAAGCACGGAGAGGAAAATGCTAATTTCCGGAAGCCAATCAGAATTGAAGAGGATGCAATTCGCTGCAGAGGTAGATGGAAGTATGCAAATATGTGAGGTAACAGCCAATTGTGCTTTCATGTCAAGAAATATGCAAAAAGGGCAGTTTTATAAAAAGCCAGCTTTATGAAGGGTTACAAAAGTTGATTGTAAGTGCTGATAGAAGGTGTTTAAAACTTTCAATTGTGTTTCAAAATTTGTTTTCAAGACATACGTGTTACTATGATTTCCAGAAAACGAATGGAAGATTCTGAGCGCTGGCGTGCTGTGGGGCGCATTGAAGCAGGACAGCCGATCACAGATGTTGCTCTTTTCTTCGGCGTTCATCATTCTGTAATTTCACGTTTATGGAAACAATTCCAAACCCCATAGACAGTTATCCGCAGGCCCGTAGGTGGTCGCCCAAGGGTTACAACCCCCGCGGAAGATCGATATATTCTATTGTAGCCGAGCGGAATCGCAGAGCAACCTCCACACGTGTGACATCTATGGTTACAGCGTCCATTGGTA